CCACCCCCCAGTTTATAATTTCATTCTGGTGCCTTGGGTGTTTTATTACTTGCATTCAATTATTCCACTGCTGTTCGAGTTGTTTCCTATCGTTAACATTATGACTGTCTGTCTTGTGTCATTGCGCCCCCCCTCTTCAAGGTTTGAGGTTTCTTGTGCTTGCTTGATCTTAGACAACATCAGAACTATGAAACCTACTATGTGCAAATTTTACTTTTTTTAATAAACTCCTTGAGTTTTATCAACAGCTTCAGATCATTAACTAGTCCTCTGGATGTAAGTGTCTGCAAGTACTAGAAGCCTGTTTGTTCAAAGATACCTTCAATGAAAAATAAATTGTAAAAGGAGACCATATCCATAAGTAAAACCAAGAGCGGGGGAAGGGAGCAGAGTTAGAGTTGAGCTTTCAACCTTAATTCTGTATTTCAAAAGTTCTGAATGCTTGGTTTGTTAGCATTAGTGCTGCACTAACTTAAAGTATTTTTCCATGAATGTGTGTGTGTTTAACCAACTAAGCATGAAATCCCTTGCTTCTGTTTGTCCCTATTAAATAGTGGCAACAAAAGAAACAGACAGGAGATGGGTCCAGAACAAAGCAGAAATAATGGAGTATTTCACCCCAAAAAGGAGAGTGAAACGAGAAGTACAATGAGTAGGCAGAGACAGACTCAACAGCTGGAGGTAGTTTAATGTGTTGTAGAGAGTACTAATTCAGGGACATTTGCTGCCCAGATCTTCAATCTGTGATCTCTGAGCGGCACATATATCAGAAGTATTTGGCCATCCCTGCTATAAACACAGTATGCTTTTCCCAGAAGATATCTCCATAGGGCTTTAAAAGGACACTGTCTAGGATTGTCAGCATAAATACTGGTCTGTCTAAAACCCAGAATCATCTTGTTGGGCTGGAATTCTGTGAGGGGGAGTAGAACTGGCTAGCTTCTTCCCTTAACTATTAAAAAATGATTATACATGCACATGCACCATTAGTGCACACTGACAAGTAAAATGAAAGTAACAGTGCTGCTCAATATTGCAACGATTTCTGCAGACTGCAGCGCAAGTAATAATTCCCAGTTTCCTGGATTAATCCATCCTTTTTTTTTCAAAAACTGACTAAATGCATACATTTTTAAAGGTAGCTTATTGTTTTATTTTCAGTACTTAAAAATATGTTTCTTCATTAAAAAATGAATTCCTGACTCTCCCTGCCTGCCTCTCTTTTCATGTCTATTTCCCCCATCCAGTGGCTGTATCTTTAAATATGATATTCTCAAAAATTATGAAAGCTGACAATTTGATGTGTCATTTCCTTTATACTAAGTAACGTCTTACCCTGATAAGATGAGAAGGCTCAAAAAAATGTTCCATTTTTGTTGCTAGCAGTGGGGTCTGAATACATGACCATATCCTAAACAACCTTTCAATGACTCTGCCAACTAGCTCTGCTTGACCCTGTATTTGCAGTAGTCCAATGTTTGCTTTTCTGTCTGCTCTAACACTTCCTCTAAGAGGCACTGTTTGGGTTTAGAGTTTGTTTTGTAATACCTAAAAGGCATGATTTTATTGCCCATTGAGCAAATCAAGTTTGGGAATCAATGGAGGAGACTTCCAGGTCTATATCTGGCAAGTTAATTTGAGCTTTATGCCTTTTGGGTTGACTAAATGGAGTGGAAAGTATGCTGGTTTGGGAAACGACTGACCACTAGTTGAAAATTAAGCAACTCTGTCAATGTTTTTGATGTATTTGTGTTTTGGAACTCTGGAATGACTTCTTCAGTTACTGGTACACTCTTCTTGCAGTTTTGTGGTTTTCAGAGTGCATTGTAATACGTGATGACATCTTTAATAATGTGTAGCTCTAGTCCATGGTTATAAAATATTTCAGGATGCATTTTCTGTCTATAATGAAATGCAGAATATAAGATGCAATTTTATTTGTGTGGTCTGTGACTTTTGAATCTTTTACTCCCCACAGATACTGTGTAGCTACTAGATGCAGTTGCCAGAGTTGTGACAATAAAGGTTTTGTCTCTATAATGGATGCTTAAATGGCCCTAACTTTGTTAGGGAGCAGGTAACTTCAGGCTGCTGAGAGAACAGGAAGAAAGTGATCAGATTGTTTGTATGGTGATATTTCCAATGGGAAAGATGTTCATTGAGCTTGAGTAAGGACGGTTGCGAAACAAGTTTATAAAGTCTAAATCTGTTTTTACAAGCATCCTCTACAACAATTTCTCATCTCAGCTGCTGCTAAGTGCTATACATAATAGCTTAAGTTTCAGCAGCTTTTTGAAGCTAAAATATTTTAAAAAAAGTTTTCATTACAAGTAAACCAAGTTACTGAAGGAAGTTAGCCTAGCAGAAGGACAAAGTCATGAATGTAGCAAAGATAAGGGAATCATACCAAATAAAATACAAGAGTGGTCTGGGGGGAGCCATGTTCCTGTCTTCTAGGTGTCTGTCTGAAATTTTCATGCCTAACTGTGTTTAGTAGTAAAGGATAAGTGAGAGGGTGATGAGTCTATGTATGCTACTTTGGAGATGCAGTGGATGTTTGATCATGTGTTTCATCCACAGCCTATAAAGATTTTCCAGTCTAAGCTGGACTTAAGGAGTTTGCAGTAGAGAGATCCTGAATTTCACAAACCTGCCTGTCAGCCACAGAGCCTCCATATATGTTTTACAAAGAGCAGAAATTATCTTTCACAGAACTGTGTGTTATTAGATGTTGTCAGAGCTTGAGTGTCATGTTTGGTTGTATAAGTGGCTGGCCAGAGAAGCACAGAATTCCTTCAGCTCATCTATTCCTTTATGTTTTTCAATGTCACATCAAGAGGTTATTGCAAAGATGCCATGATGACAGGGACAAATGGAATTCTTTTAAAGATTGGCTATAGAGGGTCTGACACAGCCTCAGGAGCTCTGGCAAACTCTGAAGGATTTTTTGTGGCCTTCAGCTTGATACCCATTAAGTAGAAGCTCTATTTAAAGGAGTTAATATTTTTCAATGAACTCAGTTGGCCTTTCTCACTTAAGTACCACAGTAGAATGTTTGCTGTGGCTTTGTAGAACCTGTGAGGTAAGTATAAACTAGTAAATGAATAGAAAATCAGTAAATAAAGCTAGTAGGCAAATTTATTCCTTTGAGCTAGGACACATACAAGAGGAAACCTTAAGAAAACAGTTTTTGAATCAAATCTTCATGCAGGCAGAGCTATTATTTTTGAAATCTGCTGCTTTTATTCAGCTTAAATATTACTGTACAAATTTTTACTTCTTATAAAGTGTTGCCTTTCACTCTTTTAAAAGATGGTGAAGTAGTTTTGTAGGTTTCACTGAATTTGTGTTTTGCTTCTTCAAAGCAATGAAAACTATTTTGGCAGCATGTGTAATAGCTTACCATCTATACCGAAAGAATCCAATTGAAGTTCTGTGTTGAATGAGCTGTCCTTTTATAATCACATTCTCACTGGACGACTTGCTCACAGGGTCAGACCCCACTGTTTGCATTAGAGCCTTACTGACATCAGTTCAGTTTCTCTGCTCCTCCAGTAGCTCTCAGTGAGAAAACCTGGGCAGTTGTCAAGACAAACTAGGTTAAGGTTGTAAAGACTGGATTTCTTTTCCTGCAATTGGTACAGTGCAGACTTGTGGTTAAGATGGAAATAAACAGCTGGGGCTGTGTAAAAACAGAATGTGTGAGAAAGGGCTGATTGCACAGACATGTTTTCCCTTCCCTATTAGAGCAGATGTCTTCCTTTGGTATAAAGGTGGCAGATACGGGGGAAAAAGTTATTTATGTCTATGTATATTGGGGTGGTGGAAGTCTGCCTTGGAAATTAGTGGGTAATTACGCTTTTTACATAAAATATACATTTCCTAGCTTTCATGGAATTTTATTCTTTTAGATTTTTACATAAAAAGTTTCTAAATCACATATAGACAAAGATCTGAAGAACTTAATGAGGGCCTAAGGAACATTTTGGAAACTTGGCCTACTTTGTCAAAACTGGTTAAGAGAAGTGGGCAGAAATCTGAGGTAGGCTTTGTGTAAGAGATTTTTATTTGTTTACATTGTGATTAATTTATACTTCTCCAGAGTAAGTGAGATATCTATCTGGTTTTTACTAGAGCTATGTCCAGAAAGATTTAATTGTTTATTTATTTACTTATTTACAAGCTGTTGTTCTGAGCTGAAATGCGTGACAAAGCAAGCCTGGAAAGGATATTAGTGGAGCAGAGGTCTCTGATTCTTTTCTTTGACAACAGGTAGAGACTGGTCAGTAGCTGCTCAGGATTGGCTCTGATATTCACACCAGGTATTGCATGAAATCAGCACAGGAAGGAAACTCATGCATAATCAGCTGCAGAGCTGTATAGGGCATGAGCCTGTGTCATGGTGTGACCAGTTTGTGCTGGTTGGGAAATAGACACACATCTTTTTGATGTTTAGGTGAAAATTTAACATGTATACTTGTTGTCTTATAAAGTCATTCTAGATTTTAGTTGATGTGGTCTTAGTCTATTAATTGTTGACTTAGTCAAAATGAAAAGTTGGAATAATACTTTGCTTCTTTCCAATGTCTTCAAGTTTATAAACTTCCTTCTTAGAAGGTTAAGGGAATAAATATTTGCCAAAAAAGAAAACTAACCTCTTTCTTTTGTTTTTGTTTTGCCCTACCCTGGCAGTGTTTTAGAGCACTTTGCTGCAAGGGACCGCCACCACCACGACCTGAGTATGACTTGGTTTGCATAGGCCTCTCTGGTTCTGGCAAGACAAGTCTTCTGTCTCAGCTCTGCAGTGAAAACCCGGAGAATATTGTGTCTACCACAGGTAGGGTGCTGCTTTTATTCCATGGTGTGCTGGAATATTGCCCAAAGATGACTACTGAAACACATAGCAAAGGCTGTAGGGAACTTCAGCCTACTTACATTGCTGTTGAAAGTACCTAATGGATCACTTTGCAGCTACCAATACTTTCAGTATTTGTTCATATATTGGGGAATACCCATGAGAACATAGAATTTGGAATATGTTAAAAGTCAAAAATGTGTGGTCTAATGAAGCAGAGTAGTACTGTACTGTAGACACACATTAAAATGTTTCTTTCTTCTCATTTTACTTTTGATTTTTAAACAGTCTCACTATATATTGGAGAGAAGGGAAGAGAATATGCTGTAAAATAGAATCAGACAGTGATGCTGTGAGACTTTAATTGGGATTTATTTCTGTACGTACTTGGTCCATGCTGCCTTGTAGTATATGGTAGCGACCAAAAAGAAAAAAGTAATGGAAGTATGATTTTTTTGTGATAATCCCAGCTTTTTAGATGAGCAACAGGCTTGTTTATACAGTAAGGGCAGATTGTGATCAAAAGAATCAATTTACAGAAAGTTTCAGTGGTACTGAGGAGGTACATAAAAACAGACAGCACAACCACAGATAAGAGTTATCTTAAGTCCAAAAAATTTGAATAGGCATCTTGATAATGGTGAACCAGAATGCCTAATACTGAAAAGCATGTTTTGATTGAAAAAAAAACCCAAAACAAAACCAAACAACCAACAAGAAACAAACCAGGAACAAAACAGCACCAGCAAAAACAAAAACAGACATGTTAAGTAAGAAGAGCGATTACCTGGCTGAAAAGTTCAGAAAGAGGGCAGATTAGGTCATGGAGGTTGAACAAATGAGGTTCAGTGGCTGCAGCAATTATTAATGTTGGTTTGCTGATGGAACCGATACTAAGTGTTGCGCAAGTACCTTGTGTTTACAGTAACATGGCTTCGAACTGTAGCTGTGGTTCATGGGCTTGAATTTCATTATTGTGCATTAGCAACCCCAACTGTTTTTCAGTGTATGTTTTCTTAATTTACAAGAACATAAGATTATTTAATACAAATGTAAGTAAAATGTTAAACGGGTACAAGGAAATAGTGTTTTTATTAACCTGTGAATAGTTAACCTGTGGCCTCTGTAGTGGTGTTACTGGCAATGTTAGAGAGATCTGACAGTCAGCTGTGAGAAGGTGACTAACTCAAAAAGTTAGAAGGAAATTGTAGAGTAATGAACCTTTTAAAATTTTTTTTTATCTCTCTCTTGAGTTTTGTCTCTGGGATTAAACTAGATTCTACTTAAGCAGTTTAGACCCTGAAATAAATAGTAACAGCAATATAAATAGAATTATAGAGCTATCAGAGAAAGTAATGAAAATACCGCTAATTAAAAACTAAATTGATTTTGTTTTTCTAGAGAGGTGCAATAAAATACCATTATATGATGAGGTAACTTAGGAATGAAAACCAGCTCTGGAGAATACTAGGCAGGCAAACCAAAATGATGCACATCTAGGGTATTCAGCTTATAATAAATCTTCTTAAATGTGGCATATCAGACAATATTGTGGACTATTCAAGAATACAACGTGACAACTTCTCCACTCAGGTTTCAAGCTATCATGTATACTTTTGCTTTTTTTATCAATGCCAATCAGGCCCATTCCATTTTTTCCCTTTTTCTAGGAAGAGTTTAGGATTTCTCTAAAGATAACAATCCCCAAAATATTTCATAATTATTCCCTTCAGATTTTCTTGTACTTTCCTCTATTGTATCTAGCACTGATCATAGTAGGAGTACTGTTAACATCTTATTGGTCTAATCAGGGAGAAAAAACATCTTGTTTCTCTTAAATGGTAGCAAATAAACATGAAATGAAACACATTTTCTCAAAACCTCTTTACTCAGTTTACAGGTATGTGATCATGTTGAAACTGCTTATGCTAGATGGAAATAAATTGAATGTCCTTCTGGATATTTTTTGCTGAAAGAGCACACATAATTTTTCCTCTATAAAGTATTATGTATGCTTATACATGTGTGTGCACTGAACATGCAAAATTTAGTGTATAATACATTGGTATGGCTGGGAGCCTTTCACATTCCCTTTCTCTTGTCTGTCTGAATTTTCAGGTAAGGGTAAAGGTCACATTTTGTTGGTGTTTTTTTTTGTTTGGTTGGATTTTTTATTTTTATTTCAGTTTTAAGCAAAAATCAGGTAAATAGAGGACTCATAGATATTTCCAATGTGCTTATGACCATTTTAATACATCCAGCTAAGGTCTGTAGAAGGGTCTTTCAGTTAATAACATTTATAGAAAGAATTAATAATACAGTTGCAACCAACATCTATGAAGTTTAAATGGAAGAATACAGTGATTTGAATTGCACATTGTTTTCAAGGTCTCCTAAAATTTGCAGAATGATCACCTCATACTAGTGGTAGTCTGGATTGTCCACTTTAGTTCTAGATGCAGTAAAGATGATTTTATAGAAGTATATTCTGGTAGAAGGTCTGGGAGTTTTGTGCTAAATTTTGGGTACCAGTTACTTATAATTGAAAATTGCATTGCTTATCCTGATTTATTCTTGTTCCACTCTATGGCACTCCTCCACCTCTTACCCCCTTCCCACACCCTTATAACTGACTTTTTAAACTCATTAAAATAGAATTTCTCACGCAAAATCCAGGTTCTTGATGGAAAAAGTTGTTTTTCTGAATATATGCAATTGATTCCAAATGGTCCCTTTAACAAATAGCTTACTAATGTTCTGTATTTCTCTTCTTAGGTTTTAGTATAAAAGCAGTGCCATTCCAGAATGCAATTTTGAACATAAAAGAACTTGGAGGTATGGCATTTATTCCTCTGTTTATAAAACATGCATGTTTAAATCTCATCATCACTGTCAGTTGTTTTAAATTGTTAGTTATTTTAAATTTTAAAATGGTAGATCAGTACAGCTGGAGTTAAAAATGTCAGCGGATAAAGTTGAGAAAACCTGTACAAATCCTGCTGTCGAAGAGCAAAGGGTAAAAAGCAGGAGGAGTGGAAGGTGTATGGTGTATCTCTTTAATGTAATTTCTTGGATTGAAGTGGTTAAGTTACACAGAAATACAAACTGGACTGTAATTTTAGTATGACTTGTGTGGCAGCTCAAGGAAATGTATGTTCCTTGTGTTTATTGTATGTATGAACTTTCACTTATGTGAACTGGCTCAGGTAACTATGTGAACATTTGTCAAAATCAATATATTCACTGCACCACTGAAAATGTTGCAAAGGCAGCCAACTTATAATGAGTTATATTCTTTGAGAACTGTTCTCTTATTGGATTTATTGGATTTTGGAGCAATGGTTGTTTTATGGTTGTAGGACTTTTTTAAACTTTTCTATATACAGGCAACCACCTATTTGGCTCCCAATTCTGACTCTCAGTCTCAAGTGAGGTTGTTTTTTAGAAGCAAGAAAACACTCTCCTGATGAGGGTTCTCATGGAGTCTAATATTCTTCTAATTTAAAACCCACTGTCTCTTCTTCGTATATTTGTTTAAATAAAGTAGACTTAATATTGAGGATATTTATTAGATTTTTCAGTGAGCTTGTAACCTCTGTTAAATGATCTGGGGTAGAATTTGACTTGGTCCTTAAGGAAAGTTTCAGGAGATCTAGTTGCATAGTAGTTGACTTAACTGAACTTGTTCCAAGAAGGCTTTGAGATAAACATATGTGGAAGGCAGGTTATTTCCTCTTTGCTACCACTGGTCCATGGATTTAAGTGTACATGTTTCTGTTTGAGCATGTATTCTGTAAAAAAAAACACCAGTAAGTTTTCTTTCATAAAGGGACCACTCCTCAGGGATAGTATAGGTACTGCTTGAGTGTGTTATGTGCATTATGTGCACTTAGTCATAATGTCACTTTTTTGATTTTTTTTTAATAGGGTGAATCATTTGCAGTCTAGTTTGTACATTCTGCTAACTAAGCTATATGAAATATATAATTCATGTAGGTAAATACAATTTTTAGATCAAGAATTGAATCTGTGTATTCTATAGCAGATCCTTGTTAAAGTCTCTTAACCTTTTCTGATCATGGATATGTGTGTTTTGAGAAATCTTATTGTAGGGAAGAATTTTGGCTCATGATGAGGAGTAATCCAGAATACTTGGTTTGTTGTTTTCATCCATTTACCTCTTCTTAAAGACAGAAGGACTGTCAGAAGTTCTTACTACACCTTTTACTTCCTTCTTTCTTTGACCTATGGGTGTTTGCCTGTCTGTGTTTCAAAATTATGTAATCTTATTTCTTATATAAAATATTGCTGAAAAATGCTAGTTTTGTTACCTTTTCATTGTCTGGTAAGAGAGCAAAAGGAAGCTTCCAAAAGTTTGGTTTTTTTCCAAAAGTTGGTGGTCACTAGTGGTGTTCCCCAGGACTCACTATGGTCCCATTTTTGTCTAATATCTTTATTGATGGTCTAGACAAGGGGATCAAGTGCATTCTTGGTTTGCAGATGACGGCCAGGTGGGTGGGAGTGTTGATCTGCTGGAGGGCAGGAAGGCTCTGCAGAGGGATCTGGACAGGCTGCATCGATGGGCTGAGGCCAGTGGGGTGAGGTTCAACAAGGCCCAGTGCTGGGTCCTGCCCTTGGGTCACAAGAGCCCCAGGCAGTGCCACAGGCTGGGACAGAGAGGCTGGAAAGGACCTGGGGGTGCTGCTGACAGCAGCTGAACATGAGCCAGGCTGTGCCCAGGTGGCCAAGAAGGCCAATGGCATCCTGGCCTGGATCAGCCATGGTGTGGGCAGCAGGGCCAGGGCAGGGATTGTCCCCTGTACTGGGCACTGCTGAGGCCACAGCTCCAGTGCTGTGTCCAGTGCTGAGCCCTCAGTGCAAGAGAGACACTGAGGAGCTGGAGAGAGTGCAGAGAAGGGCAGTGGAGCTGGGGCAGGGTCTGGAGCACAAGTGCGGTGAGGAGCAGGTAAGGAAACTCCTCATCTGAGGGAGTATTTATGCTGGAGAAAAGGAAGGTCAGAGGTGACTTTATCACTCTCTACAACTGCCTGAAAGGAGACTGTGGCCAGGTAGAGATTTCTCTCTTCTTGCTGTCAACAAGCGACAGGGTGAGAGGACATGGCCTCAAGCTGCACCAGCGGAGGTTCAGACTGCACATCAGGAAGAATTTCTTCATGAAAACAGTTGTTAAACATTGGAATGACTGCCGAGGGAGTCACCATCCCTGGAGGTGTTCAAGAAACAACTGGACATGGCACTTAGTGCTGTGGACTAGTTTACAAGGTGCTGATAGGTCAAAGGTTGTACTCAATGATCGTAGAGGTCTTTTCCAACCTAAATCATTCTGTGATTCTCTGACTAGCATTTAACCTTTTAGCTGAGAAATGTGTTCCTGTTTGATGAGGGTAAAACCTGAGCTTTCTGGAATAGGGATGGTTTATTTCTTGCTCCTATATGAAAATAAACCAAAACATTTTTCATTTGTCACCCTAAGACATTACTGTTGCATTTTGTTTTGGAATTTCTGCTTCAGATGTTGAAGAGAAACCCATGTTTTGCTTGATTGTTGGGATTTTTTGTCTTATTCCTGGTTTTTGCCTTCAGTCGTTATGCTATTGTTATATAATTTCTCTTTTCTGTGGTGTGGAAGTCTTCTCGAGCCATTTGATCTTGGAAACTTGAAGGAAGGCATCTTTCCTAACAACCACTGCCTGTTGTTACATATTATTTACAGAGTGACATTCTATGTAGTTTTAATTTTTTTGTTGCTGTGTCTTTTTAGGTTTAGGTAACAGAAATCTTCATATGTCATCATACAGTAACATATTAACAGCCAGTATTTAAAACACAGCAGAGGTTATACTGCTTAAGGTTCTTATATTCAGCAGCCAAGCATTTATGTGAAACAGATGCTGACTGTGTAGTATCCTTTCTGTTTTGTTGAAGCAGTATTCTTCCTTGAGGTCAAAGATGGTGCTAGTTTTTACTGTGCTAGTTGTCTCCAAAGCTGATAATGAAGCCAGGTTTTATTTCTTCGTTTCTACAGGGATTGTAAATTTTTCGGGCAAAACATACGGATCATAGTCTCCCTTCTTTAATCTATTAAAGGATTTCTTCATCCTCCTTTAAGATTTAAGGACAGGGAAAAAAGTTTGTTGTGCTCTCTATGCAGAAGTTTTTCTTTGAAGCGCGTGATTCTAGAGTATTAAAAATTCAACACAATTTCTGGTTTTTTTATTGTTTTTGTTTCCTAAGACAGGAACTTGCAGTCCTAGTAGAAAATAAAGGATTTATCCAATTTGATAAATTTTTTGTTTAAAAACCTAAAATTTGATCCTGATAAAGTAAGCATGTATAGAGAGCTTTCAAATATAACATTAGGCTTTCTTAAATTACTTGAAAAGAAAGTCTTGTTTTATTTGCTGACCAAGTTGAACTGCCTGTTCTCTAAGTTGCTATTTTGCTATACCAATAATCCCTTCCATGTCCCCAAGAAGCTAAAAAAAATTACCATTTTTCTCCCAAAAAATTTGGTCTAAAAGATAATATGTATGATTTAAATTATTGTGGAGATATGCCATGCCCTAGTCCACATTGTTTCAGTATGTACTATTACCAGGACAATTGGAAAAATCTGTCTTCATTATGCGACTCAGCTGAGTAATGGTATGGAAAGAAACTACAGTTGTGATGCTTTCCTCTGACAGTGCAGTAATTTGTTGTTGGAGCTAAGGGTGGCATTTTGTGTGATGAACATAGAGAGGAGTGGGAGAAGACTAAAAATAAGGCAGATGATAATGTTTGTTGTTCAGAAGATTCTAACAGTGTTTTGCTGAAACAAGTTTGAGATGGTGAATGCTGAGGTTGGTTCTCAAGACAGATAATGAAGGTGTAAATGCAATAGGAAGCTTTTTCTTTGGTTCTAAGAGATTCCAACCTGGAGACACAGTGGCTAAAAGTACCTTTTATTCCCTGTTTTTTAAAGTCATTTGCACTTGTAATGCTTTCAAAACAGAATATAATGTTGTGGTTTAGATATTTATTCAGGTCTATATCAAGATTTAAGGTCCATCCTGCTAGTCAACTAAGTATTTCCAGTTGTCTTTTTAGAATAAGTTGTTTAATAATTTATGTTGTTATCTTGTAAATGGAGGCTTAGAAACTACAAGTGAGATGCCAAAAAATGAGCCATGTCAAATTGAAAAGAGTGATTCTGGATGTGAGCAGTTCTTCTTCATACAATGTTTAAAAATGCTAACAACATGCTATAGGATCTAATAATGATCCCTTTTTTATTTATTTAAATATATTGTCTTATGTTTATGTTAGGTTTTGTGATACACCCTAAAGCCAGTTTCTCAAACATAGAGAGTACATGTTAGGTAGTCATATTGGAAAATTCATTTAAGATAAAAATCTGTTAAGTGCTTAGCAAGAGTGGAGTGGTTAATATCAGGAATGCTCTTGTCTCCAGTTGGTTGATCATGCCCAGGAAAAGAGATGAGAACTTGCCTCCCCACTGCTGTTACTTCTTAAGCTTGATTACCAAAGTCATAAATTCACATTGTTAGGCCAGCTATTAATTGTCTAGGTGACAGCTTGAGAACAAATAGCTTTAAATAGGTTTGGTTAAACAAAGCATGTGTATTTTGCCTTAATTTGGAAGTAAAGAGCAACAGAAAAGAGAATAGGAGGAGAAGCCACACTGTTATGCAGTCCAAGTTGAATGGAAAATGTGAAATTTTGGAAAAGACAGCAGCACTTGTCAGGTAGTATCTAGCTGGTGAAAAAAATGATGGACTTGGGAGAAAATAATGTTGCTCTGTTAATTAGAG